TCCTGCTGCTGCTGTTCTCTTGTTTTATGTTCTCTGGTATGGGGGCTTTAGCAGCAGCTCAGCAACTGCCCCTGCAGGTCCTGCCATGCTGATGTGTCCATGGTGCCCAAGCCCCCTTCTCACTTGTGGGTCTACAGGCATTGCAGTCCATGGGGTGGGGATAAAGATGACTCCACTTTAAGGACAGCCCATCTTCTGGGCATCTGAAAGCTCACAGTTCTTCACTGGGGAGAGGAGGTTGAAGATCTGCACTTTGAAACTGAATTCTTCTACTCTCCCTGTGATCATCCTCCAGAGCAAAGAGGTGCAAGCAAAAAGCAGCTGAGAGCAGGACAGATGGACAGAGCAGCTCTCCACCTTCTGCGCTAAGGCTCTGTCCTATTGCCTCCCAGGACTCTCAAAATAGCGCTCGTAGTGTAGCAAAAATGCCAGGGATTTCTGCCTTCAAAAATGACTCCTCAGGTGGGACAGGGTAAAAGAGCAAAGTAAGCAAAAAACCTCAACCCAAATCTCTGTTCTTCCACCAGGAAGATTGGAACTGAAGATGGCCAAAAGCTCTTTTACATCAGCATGTCCTGGTTTGAGGTAAAAGAGAACCAATTTTTTTCAGTAATTTTGCTTCATAACTGGGCCTCTTCTAACTACTGAAATTAACAGCGTATTGTTCAGACACATTTGGCTCTCAGAGTGATAAGAGCTACATTTATAGCTGATGCCCAGGCATGGTATGCAGAGAGGCTCTGGCTTATACTTATTGCTATAACACCCACTTCGTTAGTTGCCCCATTGGAGGGTCGGAAGCAGAAGAGCATAGAGGGGTCCCACCTGTGGGGAGGAGTGGACAGGACAGGTGACCCAAAACTGACCAACAGGGTATTCCATCCCATCTGCCTCGTGCTCAGGATAAAAGCTGAGGGATCAGAGGGTCAACCCTCTTTCTTCAATGGCCAGTGTCTGAGGAGGACTCTGTCTGTTTGTCTGCCTTTGATCCGGATCCTGAATGCAGATCTGGAATCCAGTTCCCATCCGACACTGAGTCCAGCCTGGGACTGCCCCAGTGCCAGCTGGTGATGTGATCCTCATCCTGGGAGCTTGATAGGGTTTGTATATTTTTCATTATTTTCTTTTAATTTTACTACTAATATTTCATCAAAGCAGTTTAGTTCCTTTTAAACTCATGAGTCTTTCTCCCCTCCTCTGCCTCTCTCTTTGAAGAGGGGTAGGGGGAAGGATCTGTCAGTCCCATCTGTGGCCCCCAGACCCCCAGTAGCCAATTCAGCCTAAACCACAACACAGTGGTAGATTTAACCTGCAGTCACTCCTGGTTCCTGTTTACCTGTTGCTGCAAAGCACGACTGACTCCTCTGGAGCCCATAGCAGAGTCCTCTGCTCCCCACTACACCCTCAGCCACCACAAACCAGGATCACATCAGGATCTGCACAAACGTTTTCCTGGAAGGACAGAGGTCACTTGGGGGACCTTAATGTGACAAACGTTTTGCTCAGCAGTGTCTGTCCTAAGTTCTCACTGTCTTTGTCTTCTTTGACAAGCCCCTATTGTGCAGACGGAACAAATGTGCAACGACAGCTCCATCACCCAGTTCCTCCTCCTGGCATTCGCAGACACACGAGAGCTGCAGCTCTTGCACTTCTGGCTCCTCCTGGGCATCTACCTGGCTGCCCTCCTGGGCAACGGCCTCATCATCACTGCCATCGCCTGCGACCACCGCCTCCACACCCCCATGTACTTCTTCCTCCTCAACCTCTTCTCTCCCTTCTCGACCTGGGCTGCATCTCCACCACTCTCCCCAGAGCCATGGCCAATTGCCTCTGGAACGCCAGCACTATCTCGTACTGGGGATGTGTTGCACAGCTCTTTCTGTTTGCCTCCTTGATCTCAGCAGAATATTATCTTCTCACCGTTATGGCCTATGACCGCTACGTGGCCATCTGCAAACCCCTGCACTATGGGACCCTCCTGGGCAGCAGAGCTTGTGTCCACATGGCAGCAGCTGCCTGCCTGTGGCAGTGGGTTTTTCAATGCTCTCCTGCACACTGCCAATACATTTTCCATACCACTCTGCCAAGGGAAAGCCCTGGACCAGTTCTTCTGTGAAATCCCCCAGATCTTCAAGCTCTCCTGCTCACACTCCTACCTCAGGGAACTTGGCCTTCTCACAGTTGGTGTTTTTTTAGGACTTGGGTGTTTTGTTTTCATTGTTGTGTCATGTGCAGATCTTCAGGGTTGTGCTGAGGATGCCCTTGGAGCAGGGACAGCACAAAGCCTTTTCCACGTGCCTCCCTCACCTGGCCGTGGTCTCCTTCTTTACCAGTACTGCCTCATTTACCTACCTGAAGCCCCCCTCCATCTCCTCCCCATCCCTAGATTTAGTGGTGTCATTTCTGTACTCGGTGGTGCCTCCAGTAGTTAACCCCCTCACCTACAGCATGAGGAACAAGGAGATCAAGGATGCCCTGAGGAAACTGATCCCATGGACCTTGCACCATTAACAGTAATTTGCCTCCCCTTTCCAGCAGAGTATCCAGGATGTATTTTAGACAAGGCCTCTACTTTTTTTTCTGATTCTCATACAACATACAATTGTTTGGGTTCATAGCACTTCTCTTGAGGCTCTGTCCTGTTGTGTCTGATCCTTGAACAACCATGTGTCACCTCCTGCCTCCCTAATAGCATCTCTGCAATAAAAAGGGATCTCCTGAGTGTGGTGCCTGAAGGCTGGGCTCTCCTTAATACAGTTGTTGTTAAGAATAAAGCCAAGGAACTGGACTTTCCAAGTGTCTCTCCACCTTGTTTTCTGTTTGTATTTGGGGGAATAATCTCACGGTATCCCTGAGATGTGTTAGATACCGAGCACTTAGGTGAAGGTTCTTTTTGTGTTGTAGAGGGGAATAGAAATTGTGCAGGAGCTCCCAGTCACGCTCCTCAGGCCATCACAGGTATGATGGGGCTGATGGCAGACATCGGTCCATGTGGAAAGGAATCTGGATTGGGCAGTAGAGGACACAGACGCTGCATGTACTCTGGAACGCACCCAGCTCTATGCAGTGCCTGCAAGGCAGGGCTGTGGGGCCATGTTGGGCAGTGGGGCTTGGCCACCCAAACTGAGGAGGTCTCCTCCTCTTTCCCCACACTCCCCAGAAAAGTTTCAGCTTAAAGGCATTGCCAGATATGCCAGATATGAGAACCATCATATCTCGTATAAATTTGAGCTGGTGGGAGCTGTAAGTGTTGCACAAAGGCTCACACACAGAACAACGGTTTTAAAAAGGAAAAAGAATTTACTGGGCGTTAACAATTTCAGTGCAGTGGGCGTGCAGACATACATCGCTCTGACACCCAGTACACTCTGTCCTCTGATCACTGGGTGCCTGCCTGCAGGCAGCTGCACTGTGACGCCCTGGGGAGGGCCAGATCCTGCCTGCAGCTGGGCCAGGGATCAGAGGGTTCCTGGCACACCTCCTTGCTGTCAGGCACAATCTTATGTGGCCCTTCTCCATCTGCTGTATTGACTTCATCTCCATTGATTACAAAGTTGTATCCTACCTCAGGTCATTGGCGAGTGGGGCAGCACAGGAGTCTTTCCTGGGCCCTGTGCAATTTATCTGGTGTGCTTTTATAAGTTAACCTGGAGGATGCAACCCTCAGCAGGTCTGTCGATGACACCAAATTGCGAGGACTATTCCTGTGCCTTCAGGATGCCACTCAGAGAATCCCTGGCAGGTGGGAGGGACGCCTTGCCACAAACCTCCAGAAGTTCAAGAAGAACTAGTACCATGTCCTGAACCTGGGATAGACCAGCCCCCTCCAGTGATACGGGCTGGGGATCATCTGACTGGGGTGCAGTTCTGTGGAACATAGCCTGATGTTCCTGGGGGATGGGACACAAAACACCCTCCAGCTGTGTGCCCTTCGCAGTGACGAAGTGTTCCAAACTGTATGAATAGTAGCCTCGCCCAAAGGTGGAGGGAAGTGGTTAGCTCCGCCTGCTCATCACTCATTAGACCACAGGCACAATATGGGGTCAATTTTTGGCTACCAGTACAAGGAAGCTGTTCATAACTGGGAGGCAGATCAGAAGAGGCCCACAGAGATGCTCGAGACCTGGAGCACTTCCCTGCAAGGAGAAGCTGCAGGACAGGGCATTTGCACTCTCAGGAATGGGAGGGCTTTGGGACACACCTAGCAGTCTGCCAGTCCCTCTGGAGAGGTTTTTCTGGAAAACAGATTCAAAATCATCACTGTAGTGCTTGGCAGGAGAACAAGAGACAAAAGTCTAGGTGACTTTGAAATAAGGAAACTTCAGGATAGAGATAAGGAAAACCTTCTTCCCCATCAGGGCAGAGCAGCATTGGAGCAGGTTGCCCAGAAGGTCTGTTCTGTCTTCATTCTTCAATATTTTTAAACCCTTACTGGATCAAGCCCTTAGCAACCTGGTCTGATCTCATAGATGACTCTAATGTGAGCAGGAGGTATGAGCAGAGACCTCCTGTGGTCCCTACGTGTCTGAATGAGGCCGGTTCCCTCTCCTCTGCCTCTCTCCATGGTGACAGTAGGGGGAGCTCTCAGGTTCTCGATTACTATGGAAGCGAATCAGCTATAAGTCCAGTCACATCAACTGCCGCTTTCCTGTCCTGCTGTGGGCAGTGTTGCTCAGATGCAGGGCTGCCTGACAGGTACTGCCTAAGAGCCCTAATCTTATTCTTTCCTTCACTTTTCATTCCTTTTTCAACTCTTTTCCCCCTCAAGTTATCGTCGTGGACCATCCTCATCCCTTACAATAGAAACAGCCAACCCCTTTTCACCACTTCCTCGTTCGCCCTTCATTCCCTTCCTTGGTCCTTGCCTTGGTGTTTATGAGATGATGACAGTGGTACATTCCACCTTCATCATCGTTTCCACTGAAGCAGCATTCCTTGTTCTTCCCTGTACTCTCATAGCTCTGCTCAAGTTGCTGTCTTGGCAGAGGAACCATTCCTGAGTATGAGGCATCTGTTGGAAGCTCAGAACAGTAGGAAATCTCAATATTGCTGATAAACCCCCGGTGCCCAGAACAGACACAAAAACTGGGTGAGGGAGGAATGAGAAGCGGAGTTGAAACCACACAGTCCCGTTCTTCTTTTCACCAGAAGTGTTTTGTGCAACTGCTAACGGTACAACCAAAAGGAACGATGGTTTGACAACAGTCCCACCCACTCACTTTGCGTCATAGGAGCATAAATATTTCCCTGATTTTGTACCTAATTGAGGGATGAGAATCCAATTGTAGGGACAGATGGCCAGGTTTGTCCTCCTCACCCCCCCCCAAAAGGAATGCCTTTCGGTAAGATTTGCAACCTCAGCAGCGTTAAGTGCTTACCTGAGAAATCAAGGTTGTGATTGCAAGTGTATCTTTAAAGCTATATAGCTACTCTGCAGTTTAGTGCATTTATCACCCGCAATCTTAAAGAATCTGTATATGTTGCATGACAATAAACTGTATTATTTGTGCACCTGACTGCTTCTTTCGAATGTGGCCAGACCTACAGCAGACAGGCTGTTCGTGCATCTGGTGTCAGGCCTAGAGTCACGGCAATAATTGGTCTCACCAAATGCAACACTATCTGCACACATACCTTAAATGCTGATGTGCTGGAGCTTCAGTGCACATGGACCTTGAGACACTCGGGGATTTGGCTAACAGAAACCTCCTCAAATTTTACAAGGAGAAGTGGTAAAGTGGAACAGGACCAGCTGAGGAGTGACTCTGAGGAGAAGGCCCTGGGCATTTTGAGGGCTGAGCCACTAGTAAAGGCTCAGCAGAATGAGGCCAGATGCATACAGGACTGTCTTAGTGGCCACCTAGACAAGGGGAGTTATTATCCCCCTGGACTCAGCAATGGTGTGGCCACACCTGTAACAGTCTGTGGGGCTTCCCATTGTGAGGAGGGTGAAGGAACAAAGCATAGTCCAGATGATGTCTGTGGAGGTGGAGTTAGAGGGGGCCAAAGCACATGACTTGTGTGGAGATGTTGAGGGGCCTGGGTTTCGCTGATCTCAGATAACGGACATTTGTGACAGTAAAGCGTAGCCTTAAACTGGAAGTTTCAGGAGGTTACAGGGTCTTTTGATGCAGCTTTCCCTGTGCGGGAAACCACATGAGAAAAGGAAATCATCACATATTGCATCTTGAGAGGATGAGACTGGACATGAGGAGAAAGAAATGTCCCTTGATGGGTTGTGCTGTGGTGCCAGAGGTCACCCAGAGGGAGCCTGGATCAGCACAATGCTTGGTGTTTCAACGAACAGGCAGGAAGGAAGAAGAGATATCAGTAAAGGCACGGAGATGTCACAGTGGGAGGATCGTGAGGAAATAGGTTGGGTGTAAACAGCCTGCAGGTCTTTGTCCCCTTGGGTATGGCACTTGTCTCTGCTACCACGGCCAGAAAGGAGACATGTGAAACTCATGGAACTGGGGCCTCATTGCTTCCCTGCACCCCCCATGGAGGCTAGGAGGTGTGGTACCGTTGTCCTTCACTGGGCATTGCACAGTCCACGTCACACTGCCCCAGGGAGAGCCCTGAGCCAGTGTGAGGAACAGCATCCCCCTTCCCAGGGCTGCATGCTTGTGGTGTTCAACTCCCCGCCCCCTCCTTTAGGCCACTCGGTACTCCCCACCTGAGCCACTGTCATGGTTTGGCCCCAGCCAGGAACAAAGAACCACGCACCCGCTCGTGCAACTCCCACAGCTGTAGGCAAAATCAGGAGGAATAAGGCAGAAACTTGTGGGTTGAGATAAACCCATTTTAACAGAACAGCAAAAGCAAGAGAAAACAATAACAGTAACACTGGTAAAGGAATATACGAACGCGATCACAGTGCCGCCGCTCCCTGACTGGACCCGCACCCATGCAGCCCACTCCCAGCCACCACTTCCTGCCCCCTCCCCCCGGCTAGCTCCCACCCCC